AAAAGTAGGGGAGGCGATAAACAATTTTCTGAAATACGTGGTATTTTTGTTGTTGTTTCCCTACAACTCATTTTCAGTTTTTTAGTGGAAAAACATGTCTTTACTTTTTTCTCTATCGTCACCAAACCCATCCCCTCCTTCCACCCCTTCCCCTATCCAGATATGTCGTCATTTATAGACCATCCCTTATATATCTGGTACCCTGTTGTAAGCGAGAGATAAAGATAAATAGAGTTCGTACACACGTGTAGGCTTAACGACTGATACAGCTCAGGATTACTAATGAATTAGTGCATCAGACACGTACATGAAATAATACATTTAATACATGTCTTTCAAACAACCAATACACCGATTTATGTTAGTATGGGACATTCATAAAAATATAGTAAGAGCAAAACAAGTCTGTTTTTTTGAAAAAAAAAATAAAATGTATTTATTTTATAGGTTCTACGATTAACATTAAAGCTTAACAATACACATGTCTAAGAAATAAAAATAATAATTGCCATGTACAGAGTGCTTGGTAATAGAAATAAAATTATGATAGGCCAATGACATTTTTAAAAATTCATTATAAAAATGTAAAAATATTAATTTGTATTTTTTGTATATTATATAGAAGATCTATATGGAAAATTCACCGAGAGAGTCGTGCAGTGAACAAAATACTGATTAAAGGAAATCTTCGCTTTGTCTTGCAAAAGTGTAAAATATAATAATAATGTATGCAGTTTTGTAATTACATTAAATTTTTTAAACAGTAGACTAAAAGACATCTAAATATGTATCATTATTGAAAATATTATATTAAGTATATTGGTATGTTTTGTAACATAAAACAGTATATTATTTTGTTGTTTGATTTTACTTTATCAAACTAATTGTGTATATTAATAAGCAAATTATTTCCCTTGCAAAATGTCTAAGCTAGAAAAATATTATCTACAATATTCAAACAAAATAAATACAAGCGACATTGTATTTAATCATATGAACACTCTAAAATTAGTTAAAAAGAAAATGTATCACATGTAGGTCAATATAAAGCTTCGTGTGAGTTCAATATGGCAGGTATTATGTTGACACAATCATTAATCAAGTTATTACAACTGTCATTTAAAGCAGACACTTCAATGGTCGGAGTAGTCGAGTGACTGAATGCACCGATTCTCTTCCCGACATTTTGACTACAATTAAAGCGTACTGTATGCCATGGGTTCTGTACGGAGGTCTTAGCTATGGGATCAGAACTCGTGACTTTCGATGAGCAATTATGGGATATAAAGGTCTAAATATATCTACACCAATTTAAAAAGTAGTTACGAATTTGTAATGTAATGTGTTTTGGAAACAATCTGTTATTTTATCTTTTTTTTTTTCATCTTATCACGCCAAATTATTCGTACACACATTTTAAATCTCCAGGCGATATGTGTAGCTATTTTGTATTAATTTTTGAACTACTACTTTAATTATTAACCTAAGTTACTTGCTATGCAAAATAATGTGTACAGGCAAATTATCAAATGCACACATTTAAAAAAAATACATGTGAGATTTGATATTGTGATCGAGTACTATCCAAGCGTGGTGATATATAATGCTTTATATTATAACTGGGGATGTAAATATAACTTAATTGATTTCCGCTGGTGTATCCCTTTGCCTGATTATCTAAAGAAGGATAATTTGAACTCGAGACTTTTTTCTTTTAATTATTTTTTCTTTTAATTTTATCAACCATGAGCTTTTGCTGACTTGACCACGCCTTCATCACAATTAAGGATACGTGTCAACTGGTTATGCACCATTGAGGCCATTGACTCCGATTTCAGCCTGATTTTCTTTTTGAATTTGCTTTCCTAACCTTTGTCCAACCATTTAACAAACTTCAAGGCAGCAGTTGTTTAATGTTGGAATTAATTTTCTCTACTAGAACTCGAGACTGTTCGATTTAGCAACCATGAGCTTTACTGTCGTGTTAATTGTGTGTCTTGTGTAGTATTGTGCTAATAGGTGGTAGTGTGGCTCTAGTCTAACTAAATTATGTGTTTATGCCTGAAATTGTTAATGTGTGTTCTAATGACATGTAGACCTAGACCTTTAATTATGTTATTTTTTTTAGGGTTTAGTTGTTGATGTTGCTAATGTTATTTTTAAAAATGAAATATCAAATGGGTTTATTGGCATGTTTTATAACGTGGGTCGCTATTGTGCTAACTGTTACTGTAAAGATATGTTTTGGTAATAGTTATATGTTAATTAGCGCTGCCCTAATGGTTCTACTGCAATATGGATACGTATCCAGCTTCGGTGTAATTGTGTCAGTTAGTCTCGTCCATATGAAGCCGTACAGTTTGAGTTTGTCTGTCACTATAATTTGGGTGTCGTGCTTTATCTTTCGTCTCCATTTCACAGAATTTTGGATTTCTCTGCATTTATTTAGCCTCAGCTGCCTATCCCGTATTCTGTAAATGTCTCTATTTGTGTCTTCATTTATTTATCTCTTCGCAGTTACACATTGGTGTCGTCAGTCTGTGCTATAATGTTCTTGGCTGTTTGGTATTGGCAATCCTTTTAAGCGGTTGTCTTGCCCAATACGTTCTAACATGGGTTCTATGCTAAGAATGTGGGGTAGTGAGGGTGGTGGGATTGACTAGGTGAAGCTGTTGAGTAGTAACGAGATGTCTTTCATTTAGAATAAACTTGTGAGTGAGCAATTGTGGGATATCAAGGTCTAAATATATTTACATCAGTTTCAAAAGTAGTTAATGATTGTAATGTTATTTTTTTAGGAAGCCATCTTTCATATTATTTTGTTTTTCTTTACAGCTAAATGTGGTAATAAAAAAATGATTAGGCCTACAGGCATATTATCTAATGCATTCATATAAAATTATAATTAAATAATCTGTGATTAGACATTGTGATCCGATATATTCCATGTGTGGTGATATATATTGCTTGCTTTCAAAAGCAGGGGAGGTAGATACAGCTGTATTGAGTTATGCAGTATTTTCGCTGTTGTATCCCTTTGATTGGTATTCAGCTTCTGTACAAATGTGTGGGACAGTCTCGTCCATGTGAAGCCGTACAGTTTGAGTTTGTCTGTCACTACAACTTTTGTGGCATATTTTGTTTTCCTGTCCGTTTTATTTAATTTTAGATTTCTCAGCATTTATTTTGCCACCACTGCCTATCCCGTATTCTATAAATGTCTCTATTATTGTCTTCATTTATTTGCTACGTCTGTAGTTAAACGTTGGTGTCGTCAATGTTACGCCGAGTGAGTGGTTTGAGTCACGTGATCCGATGACGATGCTACGAAATACCCCCACCAGATTGATTACAACGCTAACCAACCATTTGGCTAGTTCACATTCAGACGACTTGATGACATTCATGGATAAGACAACTCCATAGTTCCTTCTTTGTGTTCTTTATTCTTATATCTACATTTACATCTCTAGAATATTTCTCCCAACGTGAGTCACCCCGGTCAACCAGAGCTCCCCTGTCCCACACTGCATCAAATGTTCCTTCAATGTCAGGAGTAAAGTTAAAAATATCTGTACATAACAGCCGAATCTTTCCATCTTTACTCTGAAATAATTTAAAGTTGTGTCCATTGTGGTTAATATCTTCAACAGAATATTCCATGCCTCGGTCAGTAAAAAAACTCCTCCAATGCTTTCTTCCATACACTCCAACTATGTTATAGCCTTGGCTGGCTAACCAGCTCATAGCAACAGCTTTGCCACAAAGAGGGAAGGAGACATTGTTAGCTTGACCATCCGGTATTAGTTTAGTAAAGTGTTTGGACAACATATTATGTACAACTGCTTGATGAAATCCAATGTGTCTATCATCCCATATATCCTTCCAAAACTAAACGCTCTTCGGCGCGTTATCCAATGCTAATCAATAATACATTTAAATATCTAGACCTAGATCTAAACAATCTGTATCTGCTTGACTTGCTTGAGTTCTCGATCTTGTTAATTTGTATCCCGCAAAACAGCAGCTGTTTGTTTGGAATTAGCTAAGGACTGAAGAATAAATAGTCGAGCTCGGGCACCAACAGTGGCTAATTGAACAAGAGATGTTTGATCTCTTTAAGGAAAAGAGATCTGAAAGTGGAGGAGAAGGATGTTACGTCCCTTACATGTCCCCTGCCTGTGTGCGTGTATTGTGCTGGAACGACAGGTACCCTCCCTTTGGTGTATAGTTGTATCCCTTGGTTGAGTGTGTTTACATGGAGCGAGAGGTGTTCACGTGAGGTGTGTCAGGTGACTGGGGTCAGAGCGTGTGCTAGTGTGTGAAGCAGTTAGTTGTAGTGTGGATGTGGACGTGGCTGTGGCAGTATCTTTAAATGTTTTCATATTATATATAAATATATATATATATATATATATATATATATATATATATATATATATTTATATATATATATATATATATATATATATATATATATATATATATATATATATATATATATATATATATTAAAATTTGTATTATTGCTTAGTATTGTTATCCAGTGAATTTACTATAATATACCCCTAGACTTAGACTGAAGAACCCAACATACTTTACGAAGTGGGTTGGTATTGTACTTACTGTGGCTATAAAGATTATTTTTGGTAGTATGTATAAATTGATGAGTGCTGCCCTAGCGAAGATGGTTGTGTTGCAATGTTTGTATTTGTCCAGTTTCTATGTTGTTGTTTGTTTTTCAATCAGTCTCGTCCATGTGTCCTTGTCTTCAGTTGTCGGGGTGTCCGTAAAAGTAATACCGTATATTTTCAGTTTGTCTACTGCAGTCATTAGAGTATCGTATTTCTTTTTCCTTCTCCATTTACCTATGCCTAAAATTTTTAATTTCTCTGCATTAATTTCCCCTCCACTGCCTTTTGCCAAAATCCAAGAAAGTCTCTATTACTGTCTTGATTTCTTTTTCTGTCTGTAGTAGGAAATTGGTGTCGTCAGCGAATGCGATTATTTTCTTGGCTGTCGTGTTTGGTAAAGGCAATCCTTTTATCCGGCTGTCCTGTCTAAGACTCTCTAACATGGGCTCTATCCTAAGGATATATAATAGTGGGGATAGCGGTCATCCTTGTCTAACTGACTTTTTTATTTGTACAGCTTTGGTGACTGCATTGTTGATCAAAAGGTGGCTTTGAGCTTCTGTGTAAATGACGTTGATCCATGTTTTAAAATAGGGTCCTAGATTGTATGCATCTATTGTTTTCATTAACCATGTGTGATCTAATATATGAAAAGCTTTTTGTTGGTCTATGCTAAGGATTGCCATTTGCGTGTTCTTCTGTGTTGCGTAAAATACTATGTCTCTTATAAGATGTGTGTGATTTTGTATGTTCCTGCCGAGTAAACTGTATTGTTAGTCTCTATAAATTATCCTGTCTATGAAAGGTTCTATTTTCCTTACTAGTGTTTTGGTCAAGATTTTGTAGTCACTGTTCAGTAGGGATATGTGCCTATAGTCCTGGACTTTTGTTCTGTCTGTGTCAGGTTTGGGGATTAGAGTGATGTACGCTCTGTTAAAATATGTTGCACTGGAACCTCTGTCTTTTAAGGCCGCGAGTGGTATCGGGGTAATATCGATTTTAAAAGTTTGATTTTAAAAAAAGTCAATAAGCGATGGCTAGGTAATTAAAACAACCATATCTTAATCTAACTTCATTGTGATTGTTCTATATGTGTAATACACATCGCTACAGGGTGTCGTTTTTAAATACATAGATTATTTAAATAAAATTAAAAGGTTTATTAATATTATGTTTACTATTTTTTTTAAATGTAAACTATCTACTCATTTAATTTAGTTTTATCTATGATATTTGAATTGTTTCCGTTTCATTGAATGAACATATGTTTCTTCTAGATGGCTAGTTATTTCCCTTGGATTTTGTCTAAATATGCTTGAAACTTATTGTTACACACTTATCTGCCATGGTAACTAAAAAATGAATAAATAAACCATATACCAATAAATATGTACAATACAGTGCCACTAATCGTATACACACATTTAATATTAATTAAAATAGAAAAGATGTAATCGTGTAAGATACGTATGTGTTACGCTAGAAGCGGGTCAGATGTCGCTAAAATAAAGTTGTTTGAGAGTTTAATATTGCAGATATTGTTTATTTAATCATTAATCAAGCTGTAATTTATAGTATATACCACACTGGTCGGAGTAGTCGAGTGACTGTTTGCACCATTTCACATCTCGGCCTTTTGACTAAAATCAAAATGTAATGTTTGTTATTGGTTTTGTACGGAGATCTTACCCGCGGTTTGTCTAAACTTAGGCAGGTACCCGTCTGAGATGGGTGGACTAATGAACGTCTTACAGATTCGACTCCGGGACCTGAAGATAAGATTGGAAGATATAAAGGTCTAAATACATATATAGCATGTGTTACTTACGGAAATGTCAGGTGTATGGAAAGCAATCATTTCTTTTATTCAATATTTTTTTCCTATGATTTATAAATCTTAGTAAACATATTTCAAAGCTTCAGCTAAGATTTCATTTCACTCTATGTACTACATATATTTAATTATGTAACTTTTTAAGCCATATAATTTAGTCATACGTAGTGTACACGTGCATTATCATGTGCAAATAGTTTAAACAGTAATTTTAGATGAACTATTGTAATTTATATGTTGAGTATATCTTAGTGTTAATATTTAATGTAATGCCTATTTTGTAATTAGTAGAGGAAGGAAATAATGCTTTCTCGAATTACGCGGTATTTCTATTGTTGCATCCCTTTAAACGTTTATTTAAAAATGATAGTGGAATTGTTATATCATACATGTGTGTTTATTTCACTGAATCTTTGAAAACGTATATTTGAAGAAAAAAAAACATGCTTGATAGTAAAGGTACTGCACTGTAAACGTTAGGCCTAGTCTAGCTATTTGAAATAACATAAACAAGAAAATAGAACAACACACACAAGACATAGGAAAGCCAGAAGTAAACACATTACTGTAGACATGTATAAAGCGAACAACAGACACACAATCAGTGGAGTAGCGAGGTCGGGTGTTACCCGGTGCGGCACTTATTAGTGTCACCCCCCCCCCCCCCCAGAGGCGTAGCGACCCTAGCCGGGGACACACTTTCGACATTTCGATTTGAACCCCCCCCCCCCCCCTCAAACTTTCGATTTGCACCCCCCTCAAGTTTTCGATTTGCCCCCCCCCTCCCCTCAAAACTTTCGATATGCACTCTCCCTCAAGTTTTTCTCTATATATTTTGCTATTTTTTGCTTTGGTGTCACCCCCCCTAAATGGTGTCACCCGGTGCGGTCCGCACACCCGCCCCCCCCCCCCTCGCTACGCCCCTGTTTTCAGGATCAGTTTGTGATTTCCGAATACATGTTGCATACATTATGTTGAGGTTTTCATGAAACTGATAAAAAAAGGGAACTGGCGAGGCTGTGGGAGGGGGGGGGGGGTAAAGTTTATGTCGATAGTAAAAGTTTTATATAATTGAAAAAAGCAGCATCCAACAAGGTGTAGGCCTACTTCGATTTAATTGTCATCATTGAATAAAGATAAATAGAGTTCGTACACACGTGTAGGCTTAACGACTGATACATCTCAGGATTAGTAATGTTTTAGTGCACCAGACACGTACATGAAATAATACTTTTAATATATGTCTTATAAACAACTAATAAACCGATTTATATTAGTATGGGACATTCATTACAGTCTAGCTAGCGCAAAACAATTCTGTGTTTTGAAAAAAAATAATATGTATTTATTTTATAGGTTCTACGTTTAATATTAAAGCCTAACAATCCACATGTCTAAGAAAAAATAAATAAATTGCCATGTACAGAGTGCTTGGTAATGGAAATAAAATTATGATAGGCCAATGACCTTTTTTTTAAATTCATTATAAAAATGTTATGTAAAATTAATTGGCATTTTTTATATTATATAGAAGATCTATATGGAAAAATTCACCAAAAGGGAGGAACAACAAAAAACATTGATTCTCTGAAATCTTCGTGTGTCTTGCAAAAGTGTAAAATATAATAATAATGTATGTAGTTTTGTAATTACATTCAATTTTTTAAACATTATACTAAAAATTATCTACGTGTTTATCATTATTGAAAATATTATATTAAGTTTATTGGTATTCATTGTCACATAAAACGGTATATCATTTTGTTCTTTGATTTTGCCTTATCAAACTAATTGTGATAATTAATAAGGAAATTATTTCCCTTGCAACATTTCTAAGCTAGAAAAAGAGTATCTGCAATATTCAAACAAAATAAAAATACAGGCGACATTGTATTTAATCATATGAACACACTAAAATTAGTTAAAAAGAAAATGTGTCACATGTAGGTCAATATAAAGCTTCGTGTGAGTTCAATATGGCAGGTATTATGTTGACACAATCATTAATCAAGTTATTACAACTGTCATTTAAAGCAGACACTTCAATGGTCGGAGTAGTCGAGTGACTGAATGCACCGATTCTCTTCCCGACATTTTGACTACAATTAAAGCGTACTGTATGCTATGCGTTCTGTACGGAGGTCTTAGCTATGGGATCTGAACTCGTGACTTTCGAGTGAGCAATTGTGGGATATAAATATATCTACACAATTTTTAAAAGTAGTTAATGATTGTCATGTGATGTGTTTTGGAAGTCATTTGTTATTTAATCTTTTATTTCCATCTTCTCAGGCCAAAACAACCCTTTAAAGCGGTTGTCCTGCCTAATACGTTCGAATATGGGTTCTATGCTAAGAATGTGG